CAGGCTGAGAAAGAGGCCTAGGAGGTATACTGCTGGTTCTTATTATCACCAGATTGCAAAAGCATATAGCCTGAGCTGGCTTTCAAGCAAGCTAAGTTGCAGCTCTATGTCCCAGGAGCCTGCCTTGCAGAGCAGGATCTGGATGGTACCAATTTAGAAAGCTCTCTAAGTTTGTGATGCCCTTTAAGAGAATGAGTCATTTGCCAGAGTCACAGGCCTGGGAACAGGATAGAAAGAAGAGCTACTAGATAAAGAACTATTGGCATTAGGTCTTCCTCCTGATCTTTGAATTTGGGCTGTTTGGCCTGAGTTCCAGAAGGAAGGTCCAAGTGGTTCTTGCTGACACAGACAGCATCAAGAAGGTGAGTGACAAGGGCTGTTGGAGGACATGGACATCTTCTTCCCAGCCATAAGAAAAAACAAGTCATTGTGTGCCTTCACCTTCAAAAAGCTAATGGCCGGCAAAATCTGTCATGACAAAATTATTTTTTGTGTCATCTCTTTGGGCCAAATAGCAGGCTTTTAATAGCTTGCCATGTGATAACTCTAACAAATCCTTCGTCTGACTTGTTCAGCCTTACCCTCCATGCAGCGGTGGGCAGAGTGAGGAGGGCCTTGCTGCAGTGTGTTTGCAGTTGTTCTGCAGCATTATCTCTAGCTATGTGTTGAGTTCCTGTAAACCCAGCTACTGACATATTTACACTCCTGTGTTTATTACTGATGAGAAATTAAAAATAAAGCTTCAAGTATTAACATAGCAGAAAATCTTGTCCTTCAGTTCTCTTAAAAATTAAACTGTCAACTACTTTTTCAAAGTTGTCCTTTTACAAAACTGCAACTTTTGCAATGTGCAGGAAGATGGATAACGTAATTTCTTTCCTGATCAGTGTTGTTCTTTTCTATTTGACAGACATTATATTTTAAAGTGTGGGCTTGATATAAGTGTGCCAAAAGTGCTAAAATTGAAGTGCTGAAGCCTAGGAAAGAAAATCTGTGGTTTTTATGAAATGTCAAAAACTATTTAGATGTTTTGTTTTCACTCCATGGATTCAAGAAGCAGTGATGCAAATAAATCAGAATCTTTTTTTTTCATTAAAATAAATTAAAATCTCCTAAGGAATATCACATCAGACTAGTAAGTAATTGCACATAATTGAGACTCACAAGTGAAAAAAATGGGTTTCAGGTACATATATTCAAAAAAGTCTGTAAATATTGATTGTGTGTGCTAGAAGGCAAAATTTAGCCAGTGATTTCAAAATTCATCACTGATATTCTGTTGTTTGTTCTTTTCTCAGTCTCCCCAACTTCATAAATATGTTTCTGTTTAAAATGTCTTCTCAACATTGGAAAGGTTCAGTAAAACTTAGCACCTGGGAAGAGAAAAATGCACAAAGTCGTTGCAGGTTCTGTCCACACAAACAGCAGCAGACAGGAACTTAGATTGAAACTGGTGTCCCAAGTGGCACCAGGAACTAAGGGTTTCACCAAGAGCAGAGTTATTCATAGGAATAGCTGAAAAATGTTGGGACAGCCCACATGACTGGAGGATTGTGATGGATGGCTATAGGCTGTTTCAAAAAGACAGGCAGGACAAAACTGGAGGAGTCTCACTCTTTATCAAGGGGAATTTCTGATGCACAGAAATCAACCAGAGCAACTGTGCAGCCATACAGAATGCCCTTAAGATCAGAGAAGGCATCTTCAAGGGGAATGTTTCAGTAGGCAACTTCTACTGACCTCCAAACCAAGACAATATTTGGGGCACTTAAGCAAGCTGTGGCAGGTTCACAGAACCTGCCTCATGTGGGTGACTTCAGCTGTCCAGACATTTGTTGGAAGAACAGTACAGCAGCTCATGTTATCCATCAAGTTCCAGGAGTGCTTAGGAGGACTGCTTCCTCATACAAATATTAGAGATGTGCCAAGCAGGAATGAAGCACTGCTGGACTTCCAAACCGAGGAAACCTGCTTTGAAATGCCATGGTCAGTGATAGCCTTGGCTGTAGTGATCACATTGTGGAGTTTGGGATCGGCTGGGCATACTGAAGGTTAGTACTAAACCAAAAGTTTTAGACTTTAGAAGAGCAAACTTCAGCTCAGTCACGGCTCAGGTGGCAGGAGGGGCAGGTGGAAAGGGAGGGTGGTAGTGTCCTCTGGAACCTTCCATGGGGTATAAACATGGAAACAAGCTGAAAGCTTCCAGAGAAGGGAAACAAGGACAATCAAAGGACTTGAAAGTCTGCCATATGAGGAAAGGACTGGATTTGTTTGCCCTTGAGAAAAGAAGGCTTAGGGGAGACCTAATCTTGCAGGGGACCTTGTCTGAGAGAAGCTGCCACTGCCATGCTAATAACATTAACACAAAGCAACAAGTACCTGATAGCAAGATGGCAGCATTACTGAGACAACAGAAGTGCTTGGTTTTAATTTTGCATTAAGAATTTAATTTTGCATTAATTTTATGGCATCATCCAAACTCCTGAGTCAGAACTTCAGTGTCTAGCAAGGCTGTACTCTCAGTAGTGATGGTGAGCATCAAAAGGAAGGGGAGACAACCCTGCAAAAACTGTTGTGCTGCAAAGAAGGCAAAGTGAATTTTTGGTTACATCATGCAAAAGCATACAATTCTGCTTCATAGAATGTAGCATATTTCTGTGCCTCAAGTGATGAGAGTTTCACTCTCTGGCTGGTTCTGGGTAAGATGTAAGCCTGGGTCATGTCCAAGCAGAATTTACCTGCAGTGATGGCAATAGCGTGTTACACCAGCAAGAACTAAAGACACTCTGGTGCTGGAGAAAATTCTCTATACTCTGGATGTTTTGCTCTGAGGGCTGAGGAGCACAGCTGCCTTCATATTCTCCTTTATTGGGCAGCAGCACGTACCAAGCAGGCTGATCTCCGCATCACTCTAAACTCAACATTGCTGGCAATTACAGCTCATTCTTTAGGAAATGCCATCTTGAGAACATTATTTGAGGTATTGGTCTAGAAGCTGTGTTAGGTCTGGAATCTGTATTCCTATTTAAATCTCCCAGCCACAAGAGGTAATGGCACATAGACAACTGGAGAAGGGTTTGCTTGGCCAAGGTGCTATGCAGCAGAGGTAGTTCCTCTGTAAAACCAGTGGCTTTGCTTAGTCCCCCAGTATGCCAGAAGGCTTTTGTTAGGCTTTGCAAGATGTAATCCAGAGGACCTCACAGGTTTTTTCTCCTTTTTGTTCTGCCTTGGACAAGAAGATAATTTCAGATTGAGGCATCTGTAGCATATGTTTTCTGCAGAGCTGGTAATAATAGAAACATTGCAGTGAGGTCCCTGCATGAGTTACGTCACTTGTTTTTTGACTGGGCAATCAGAGAGGAGCTAGCAAGGAAGCCTGCTGTCAGTGCTGGAGAAAGGATGTAGGTCCTGGCAGCAAGCCCAGGCCTGCTCAGCAGATCAAAGGCTCTTCCCTTGGCTCCCATAGCAGCCGGAAAAGCAGCTGCCCAGTACCCTTTCAGCATCCTTCGTTCCTTTCTCCTCTGCCAGCAAATAACTTCTTTTTGCTCCCCACCTCAGCAATAGTCCCTTATTTTCCCCCCTCGGTATCTGCCAAGCAAGGTCCTTATATGGAAAGTGCTTGTGTTTACTACCTGCAGATCTCAGGGCCAGCCAGTGGGAACGCACTGGGAATACTCTGGTTCTCACATGCTCCTCCCTTCCCCCAGATATGCTCCCAGCTGAGACTTTAACCTGGAAGATGAGGCAAAGCTGAAAGGAGCAAGCCATGGTTCTAAACCACATGCCGTTTTCCAAGCCAACCTGATGGAAGATTTGAATTTGGAAAAGTACTTTTTGTGCCAAAATAGCATAACAGCCATGCTTTGAAACCCTTCCCACTCACCTCCCAGAAAAATAAATAATGTGGGTTTTTTGTGGGCTTCTTCATGGTGGTTTTTCCTTTTTAAATACATGACTGCCTTCCTCCAAAGCCGCTGCTTGTCAGTGCTGCTCCTGGCTGTCCCTGTTAACTGGTTCCTGACGGGAAGTTTGTCTGCCATGAAAGGAGAGTCAAGCAGACGTGTCAGAGAACTGCAGACTCTGCAAGAAGAACACTCTGTCTGCTATTGCACTTCTGTTTCTGCTTCAGTTACACTATGGGCTGGCTGATGGGAGCCTTTAAAAACAGCAGCGCTGAGCTTCAAAGGCTCATGCAGCCTTACATACCAAATTACTGCTAAATAGGGGATGAAAGCCTGACCCTTGCGTGCCCCGCTGGCAGGGTCGGCATCACCAGCACCTTTTCTCCTCCCCGGTTTGGAGAGTTGATCAGCCCAGTAGTGTTAGGTGAATAAGCTGTCCTGCACGGGTCTGCTAAAGGTCTTGAAAATATTTTTGTAGTTGCTTTTGTAAGCACTGTGAGGCACTCCAGCCTGCAGTCGCAGCTGCACTGTGGATATGAGGTTTGCCTTGCTCAGTTAGCAGTCCCCGAGCTTGGGTTTGCTGATTAATTATCTGCCATCATCACGATTGGTATGGGAGCAATGTCTTAAAAGATCTTTGTTCCCAATGTGAGCTTCTAATGGCTATTAAAACTGTGAGTGTTTGGGAGCTCCTCTGGGGAGCTCTTCTCCCTGTGCTCACACACTGCTAATAGCACCTTCATAAGGGTTTGCCTGCTACAAATTGCCAATAATTAATAATATTCTATATAGAAGCATCAGACACAGTTAATGCATGTGACTACAGGCTGGCCCAGTGCCTAGCCCAGATGCTTTGTAGACAAGCTTTTCTCTGCCTCAGTTTCTCCTTCAGTGAAATCAAGAGAATATGAGACTTAGTAATGTTTGTGGGTGAGTGGGGGAAACCATTGGAAGGGACAGGTGCAGAAGCATAACAGGTTATTTTCCATAGCTTTCCTTATTATACCTGATGCTTTTTTAATGGAATCTAGTTTTCAAACTCATCTTTTGTATAAATACACCATATTAGACATCAGTGGCACGGTGGGGAGAGTTGGAATAAGTAAAGAGAGTGAACTTCAGGATCATTATCACCAGAAATACAGATAATTGTTTATTATCATAACTCTAATGAGGCACATTCCTGTAAATTTTTTTCTCATTGTTGTTCTTAATTGTTCTTTTCCATGTGTCTCTTACCACCATTTCTTTATTATGTGTATTGCAAAAATGCCTCATGGGTCCAGTGAGGCGCCAGTATCACAGGAAAGCAGTGGAGATCCTTGAGTATGTGCAGACTTTTCTTTCTACCTCCATTTTCTGTCTTCTCTGCCTTTATTGGCATCTTCTTGCTTGCCTCTTCTTTCCTCCCTGTGAGTCTGGTTTCCTCTTTACTACAACTGAAACAAATAATTTTGATGAAACAAATATAAAGAAGGAGGGCAAAATACTCTCTTGTGTTTTGTTTAGTAGTGAAACACGCAGCATTATAAAATACCAAAACCCCAATGACTCTGTAGGGAAATTCAGGTAACAAGTAAAACATATGGACACCCAGAGTAAATACGTGGATGCACCAAGCAGGATTCAATTCAAGATCATGATGTGTCTGTATCCCAGGAGGGATCTGAGAGAGTCATAGGCCCTGGACTTCAACACTTTTCAGAATTATGGAAAATTAATCATTACAGTAAGTTTTTAAAGATTTTCAAGGAGTGGGTGAAGAAAGCAATTTGTCTTGAAAGGACAGCTCAGCGCTTTCTTGATCTTTTACTGTCCCGGTAAATCATTTATCAGGGAAAACTTTCAGAGAACTCCCACACAAACTATGCTAGACAGAGCCTCCCAAAAGTAATATTACTCCTCCTTTATGCTTTCCAGACCTAAAAAAAGAGAGGCTGTAATACCAGGGTGGTACAGGTACCCCTGCTTGATAGTGTGAGGGCTTCAAAGCTTCCCTTTTCTGAAATATTAACTGAATTGGTCAGGACCATTTCAGGATCTGCATTTCTCATTTAACCTTGCTTTTATGTATTTTGTTTCTCTGATACCTGACACAAAATTCAAAATAGTACCACAGTGTGAGATCGTTTCTCTTTTGAATTATTATAATGGAATATGAGCTTTATTTTTTTTTCCCCATTAATTGTTCTGGTTGATTTCCCTAGCTTAGAGCAGAGGTGTGGTTTGGAAGGCTCAGATTTTAAAATATTAAGAGAAAGGGGGAAAAAAAGCAAAAAGGAGGAATTTCTCCCTGCACATTAGAGGCTTCCAGAAAATCTGGGATCACATACATGACTTCTGGAGCGATACATTTTAACTTGTGTTCATCAGTTATGAGGTTTTGTCTGGTCTAAAATATCCCAAACTATTCACTGTCATTTGTAGGCAGCATCAACTCCAATCTGCAGTAACAATAAGTAGGTATTAAAAAGGAATTTCTCTATTTATATTCTGAGTTTCAAACAATTCAGTTGCAATTGATTTATTACAGGAATATTAATTTAATTCAAGGACCAGAGCTTTGAGAGCATTCTAACAAAACATTAAGACTGGCAATGCAAATGGGACTATGAGGAATAATGGATAATTTCTATTATTGTTTTCTCCATGGCTGTAACCTTTTCCCCATCATAGATATTAGCACATTGTGAAAGGGAAGGGTGTAGGAGGCACAAGGAATAACTTTCTATTAATTTTCAGCAAGAAAAACAAAAGCAGGGGTTAAAAAAGTCTTGTGTCAAAACAAAGTGTATGTGCAGAGAAAGTAGCTATACATGCAAGAGAAATGTATTTTTATCATTATTGTTCTTATCATTATTATTTGCACCTAGCATGAACTGATAGATTTTAATAAAGCTCCTTCATCCTAATTATGTAATTAGCCACATTTCCCGTGGGCTGTGAGAAACCTGGAGAAACTGAAAAGGGGTGAAACAAGTGGGTAGGTGGAGATTATAGAGAGAGAAGGGGCTGAAGTGAGAAAGAAGTAGTTCAGGGGAAAACAGGCTTCATCTGCTATGTTTCTCATGGAAAAATTGTCCTCACCCTTGCCAGCCTTGAAACTTGGAGGCTTTAATTGTGGACTCAAAATAAGAAACCTGTGGTTTTCTCATTCACATGGGCTCCGTCTGCCTGACCGCAACATCTGTGAAGCAACGATAGTGTTCTAAGCTCTCCCAAACCTTGAATTTTGCAATTAATTTTCTGGAAAAGCTACCTGAAACAAAGTGACAAGAGCCTGTATTAAATGCTCGGTAACATGTAATTCATAAGTGTCAAATGCAATGTTAAAAATCCCCCTCTCCCCTGCCCTCATACCTGTTCCTACTTTAGTTCACCAGGAAAATTTGATTTCCCTCACCCCAGAGAGCATTTACCTGGCACACAGACCTGTTCCTTGTGCCCTGACTCATCTCTGCTCTGGGACTGTGTCTGTCTCCTCTGCCTCCGTGTCTCAGGAAGACAGCATTAGCTGTTTGCCAGCATTAAAGCAAACATGGCTGCAAAATCCCTTCCACACAGCAGCTATTTCCAACAAGCTGCTGTGAAGGAATTTCTGCTAAAAACAGAAGAGAAAAAAAAGAGCTGGTATCTCAAAATACTTTCCTCATTGCAGCAGTCAGCTGAGGAGGCATGTCAGGAGAAAACAACATGATGCTGTTCTCAGGTGATGTGGGGTAAGGGGAAGAGGGTGGGAGACACTGAAGTGTGTTCATAAAGCAGTGAAGGAAACATCCAGACACACAAAGAGGAGAAGCTAATGTGCCTTCAAAGTACATTTAACGTGGGATTGCTGACATGTCATCACAAGCACCAGCACAGAGCTATTACATGGTCACTGCAGGGACAGGGTTACTGTGCCCTTCTGTAATCCTGTTGGATTTATTTTATATTTAACTTTGCTGTTGAATTCCACCTTGTATAATGTTTGGTTTAGGAAAAAGTGCTACAGCATACCATTTTTTAATTCTCATCTAGCAATAACACTTGTAACCCCAACACCCCCCATATAATTTTTGTCTGAAAAGTAATGTAAAGTCTCTTTGAATAGTATCCTTCACTCTTCACAGGTATTTTTCATGGGAACTTCAAAGAGAACTTTTCATTTTTTAGATACTCATGTTGTTTTTGCAGGTGCTTTACAAAAGTTTCCATTAACAAATAAACAGTAAGCGTCAGGTGTGATTAAAATTGTTCAGCCACAAACCATCAACACTGGATAAGCTAAGATACAGTTGAAGTGAGTTGCTTAACAAGTGCTAAAATCTGACCTAGCTCCATAAGAGGTGTTATAGAACGATGCTGCACATAACAAAAAAATACCAAAAATCTTTCCAAGTTTTGTGAATAGTAAAAGAGATGACTACGTTCATTATTGGTTATAAACACTTTTAACCCAAGCTTCTTCTTAATGCAGTTTCACTGACACAGTCACAGCCTTCTATGATCCAAAATACAGAATCATCATCCTTCTTAAAAAAAAAAAAAAAAAAGTGGTTCTAGAAGCAAGCAAAAAGCAGCAGCACCTCAAACATGTTACTGATGTCAGAAAACTTGTAGCAAAAAAAAAAAAAAAAGAAAACACCTTCAAGCTTACAGTTCTCATAGGTGGATTTTGGTACGGATATGGTGGGAGGGTGTTGAGACAAGGCCAGGGTCTAAACTGTATGTGCTCCAAGCATTTGCAAGGAAACTGGTGAGCCCTGGCTGGCCTGGGATGCTAGGAAACAGGACTTTCTAGGGATGTTTCCTTTAAAGGAAGAGGCATCATCAGCAGGTCAACAGCTGCCTTTGTTGAGGACACCTGACCAGCAGCAGTCATTGAGTCCATCCATAGTTTCCCCTTTGGTGGCAGTATGAAGAATATCCCAAAAACACCTGTGCCTGAGCTCTGCCTCCCCTGTCTGGGTCACTTGTGCATGAGGTGACAACCCTGGGCTGTGCAGTTGGTTCTTAGGACACTCACCCTGAGCAAGACTCACTGACAACAATTCACTAACCACAGAAGCAATCCCAGTAGCTTCGTGTATTTGACAATGGTGGCCTTGTATCAATTCAGAGTTTATATATTTCCTCAGAAATCCTCTTACTAGTTTTGAAAGTAGTAGAAGTAATGGATATTTCTTTCTACTTCTTGATAAATACATTGAAGACTGTGAACAAAATCCAGACAAAATGTTGCTTGGGGCAGAAGCCATTATATTTGAAGAAGTCCTTGACATCTTCTGGAACAGAAGATATCTTGCTATTTTTCTTTTTTTTTTTTTTATTTTTAATGTATCAGACTCATGAAAAAAAGGATCTATTTAGAAACCTATCTGAACAAATAGCTCTGAAGACAAAAGATAATTGCCTAATGATCGCCACTGTGGTAGCAACAAAAATTTAATTATTAATGGTAAGACTTCATCTCCACCATTTTTGCAGACTAATATGCCTTGTGGGATAGGGAATGTGCTTCATTAGGGGCTTCTCTTAAAAAACAAATGCAAACCATATGCACGTTGAGCTCAAGGTCTTTACCTCAGAAAAAATTATGTCCATAGCTACACACTGCCTGTTAGCTAAATGTCGTTCAAGGTCTTCCTTGTAATATTAGAAGCATGAGTAATACCAGATTAACCAAGTTCCTGAAAAGTGTTTTGAGGGCTATTCTTTAAAGCAAATTAGATTGTGGGACATTGCTTAAGGCAGAGAGAGGACAGGAAACCTTAAGGAACGAAGCAGTCCTCTTGATATTTATTGCAGGGTTGTCTGTGTATTGTTAGGCACAGGACTTTTGCATGTGAATAAGAGCCACATGTACATGAAGAGAGAATAAAAAATTAAATTTGGGGGAAATTAGTTCAAATGGTGCCTCTACAATTGTGTTCTCCAAGGTGAAGGATAGCAAGTGCACAGGTCCAAAGTTCCAATGAGACACAGAGAGGGATCATAATATTCAGAAATACAGCATTTTATTTGGCAGGAAACAAAATACAGAAGCCAAAGTGTGTAAGCATATGTATTGTGTTAAGTATATGTATTGTGTATTGTCCTTAAATATAGAATATAGTTGCTGGTGAAAGGGGATTCTGCTATAAAGAAAGAACCATATCTCTGCTCAGTTCTTCAGCAATTTAGCTACTCTCTGTTTTATCACACAGGAGAGATTTTCACCCTGAGAAGGGGCTCCCTCAGACCTGGGATCCTTAACCAATTGCAGTTTAAAGAAACTTAGAGTGAGCATGAATGATTAAAGACAGAAGGAAAAGAGTGTGAGCGAACAGCATGTATGTGCGAGAGAGAGAGCGAGCGAGCTGCTCTTTTTTGTAGGAGTTAAGCTGGGAAATGATTCCTGTCCTTAGGTACTGCGGTCAGTGAAGCCCAGTGTTGGGTCTGGACCTGCTAGTTTAACCCTTACAGTATCAGGTGTGACCTTCTGATGGCAGCCACATGGCCCTGAGTCTGTGAAGTGGCACAAAGCTGGCAGCTCTGCCTTGCAGTGTCACAGTCCCATATGAGATCACTCTACATACAGGGCAACACTGAGTGGTCCTCAGAGGGACAACAATGTGTTATGCATAACAAGCTGCTTCATGTCCTGCCACAGTGACCCCCCCATTCCCAGAAAAGCACCTGCTCATGGCTGGTCAGCGGGGCTAGGGATGTGCTGGAAAAATCACGGTGCGTTCTTACTACACGATATACGTGTACACAGTCACATATCTGGATCTATTTCTTTTCCGTTTATACCTGTCTAGTTCTGTTGACCTTGGTGGATTTATCCAGGTGTATGTCAGGCCAGAATCAAAGCCTCTGCTCTGTCAGTGAAAAGGGAGTCAGAAGCTGGGCTGGTGTGCTAAACACAACACATGATTACTAGGAGAAATGACTTGGCAGGAGTTGAAGCACCAGACATACAGAAAATGTTTGCTTTGAAATTCCAGAGACTTGACTGTCCCTTTGGTTTTTTGGAATGCTTTGATTTAGTCATGTGGGGTGGGAGCTGGCTGTAACCTTGCAAGGGCACTGGGAACAGTACCTCTTGTGCAGCTACAGGAGATGTGAAGGGAATTAACTGTCAGCAAGCTTCAGGGAGACAGCAGATGTATACGTGGTTAAGAGAAGTTTGGCTGGCTTGTAAAATTTATTTCCACCACAAGATCAAAAGTGTATAAAATATGTAATCCTTGGATGTGTAATGTATAACAGGACATAGCAGTGTAAGTGAGGGAAGAGAGAATTCATTGCATGCGAATGGCTGAACAGTTTCACTCTTAATTACTTGGGAGCAGGAAAAAAGAAGGCTCCTGCAGTTTCCGCGATTACAAATTACACATGCCCACAAGGAACTCAGGATTTGGTGCATTTTAATAATCCATTTCATTATACATTTTCAGAAGTAAACATTCCAAGCCAACTCTGCTTGCTTTTGGGTGCAATTTACAGGAGAACCCTTGCATCAGCAGAAAGAACCACTGACGCAAAGCTCCTTGCTGTACTTGAGTGCTCGCCTGATTTACCCACGTGCTCCTCAGTTAAAGGTAGCCTGTGTGCATTTTCTGCTTCTGCTCCTGCCACTAGGTCAACTGTGAGTGTAGATGGTGCTCCCCCAAAAACATTACAGTGTCAGAAAAGCTGCAGTGGGACAGGATGCTGTTCCCATGTTCCCAGGGTCTCCTGCTAGACTCCTAACTCATTACGTATCCAGGACCAAAACCTGCATTCCTGGTATACACACTGGACGTTGTTAATGAGGTTTGCATGAGAGGAGAGAAAAAAAAACACCTGGCTGAAATTTCCTCACAATAGCTTCAGTAATTCAGCCCTCTTCTGTAGCTTTTGTGTATTGTTAATAAGCGGTTCCATTTATTTTACACTGTTACAATGGCATTTATTTCCTAGGATGATAATAAAAGTAGGATGATGGGGAAGAAACACTGATTGCACACTGTAAAACTGGATGTAACAAAAGGAAGGAAAAATTATTACTGCTGTAAAAATGTGCTTCTAGTCCACTTTCTTAATAACCCAACTATGGAGAAATATTCTGATTAGATTTTTTAAAAATATGTGTTCCCACTGAGAAAGCAGCTGATTCTTTCTCATTTGCCTTAGTCTCTGAGAGCAGTCACATGCATAAACCTCACAATCTCTGATGAGCAAATTCGGGAGCACAAGAAACATGCTGAAGAACAGGGAACCAGTACACGCCAGACTACCCATGAAAGTTAG